TCAATAGCTTTAATAGAGAATGAATGGTAACAATTAAAATATCAAAAGGTAATTTATGAATCAATATACATGAATGGTCTTTAGACCGAGCCAACCATATTTATTTTAAACGATAATATTGATCATCACGGAAATTTTCCAAAAATTGTTACAGATTTATTAAAAAGTCAAAATGTTCGTTACACGATTCAAATTATCAAAATTAGATATAAATTCGATATGACATTAAAAAAAATTTAGGAATCCAATTCGAATCGAATCGTTCGAGCCTTATATTTAATATAATTGAACAGTAATTATGTATATATAATAATTGACCATTATTATTAATAAATTTAATGATTTAAAGAATTTCAAAGTTTAAAAAAACCTGCTTTTATTGTATCGCCTTCAAAATATATAAGAAATTTACATGTTACTATTTCTCCGAATTTAATATTAACATTCGATCAGGTATATATTTGTTTGACTATTAGAATGTCATATAAAAAAAATAGCATTGGATTTATTTCTTGAAACAGGGATTGTTCAATATCTTTTGGTCTAAACCTTCTTGAATCTATAATATATAGAAAAACATAATGACTTGGAAGAGCATCAAGTTTACAGTATGTATAGGCTTAAACAAATTTAAATTGCCATTTCTTGTCCTTTTCATAATTCAAAGTTGTATTAGCTTTAAATTTAATTTTTATGTTAAAAGTAAATATTTTATGATTTACAAGTTACGAATTCACTGAATTTGATTGCCCAATATAAATCTAACAAATGATTGTTGCGAATAAAACTTTTGAACAAACGTTCATATTATAATTGTCCAACAAATAAATAAAATATCTTTATAATGTAACTAAAATTATTGTGAATCTAACAAAACTGGTCATGTAATCTCATCACACCTGTAAAATGTTCTAAATAATGATGCAGGGAAAGATATATAGATAAAAGAATTGATGTGGAATGAGGAAAAAATTGTCGCTGCTTGACACTAGTCAAGCTTTGTCATGAGAACCACCCAAGCCCACTGTGGAAAAAAATAAAAAGCATTACCCGAATTTATTTCATCGATAGATGTATTAAAATAGTTATATGATTAAATATCTACCCTCAATATATGGAGGATTAGGATTTTTTTTAACTGCATCTTTTAATGAATATTCCGTCTATTATATAACCTGGGTTGACATTTGACATGACACGGATATTGTATATTTATCAGATATGCCAACTCTGTAAATTATAACCTTCCAAGCTTTGTTTTTTTTTCCTTCGCAGTTAAACTTACATTTATATTGAATAACAACAAAATTTGGCCCTAATATTAATATTGAATCCTCCAAAAAAGTAAACAACAAATCTTTTTTTAATATTATAACCCTTGTGAAAATTATCAGCTAAAAATCAACAAATTGGCCAATAATCAGATAAACTGGGGCGTGAACTTTAAATATTTTAGATTGTTAGATAAATAAACGTGGTCACTAGGTCTCACTTTAGCACAAGAAAATTACATTGTATGCAATAATAACCAAAATAAATATATATTAATTGGGACATACTGCAATAAAAAAATTCAGGTTAAAAGTCACCGATAATATGATATGATTAATATTCTATAAAACAAAATTCTATTTTTTTTTTTAATAAATCAATTTCATATTTTCAATAGCAATAATCATATTGCTATATTATAATGCACATTACTATCCTATTAAGAGTATTATTTTATCTATATGATATTATCTACATCAAAATTATTAACATTATTCAAAATTATTACTAATAATCTCATTGTTATTATTATCAGAATTATCTATCAATATCTAAGATCTGTATCTAAATCATCATTGTTGATATCAATGTTCATTATATCTTTATATCTGAATCATTAGCATCTGAATTATTATTATCTGTATCATTAATATCATTGTTGATGATGACTGTATCATTAATATCAGTGTTGATATCATTATTAATATTAATGTCAGTGTCACCACCATCAGTATTGTTATCAGGATTGTTATCAGTGATATTATTGATAATCTCTATATTTTTTACATTATTAACACCAATAGTATTAGTAACAATATTATCAGCACTGGTAGTAGAACTCTTAGTAATGTTGGTCAATTTCTTTTTCTTATACTTTTTGAATCCGACGTCTTTATTTTTCAAGGCAATTTTATCAGCCTCGCCATCATCAAGTTCATCATTGAATTTTGAATTTTGAATTGTTTTCTTCAATGAATTAGCTTCTTTTTGATTGATTAATATCACATCTTTATCATTTTTATGATCAATTGGGACTATATCTCCACACTAAATGATATTTATAGATGTTATGTTAGATTAGTAAACAATATAGTATTTCACATAAATATATAATGAATATAATAATCACCGCTGTGTTTCTAAATTTATCCTTAATATTAGTAATCCTTTCAAATACTACAATAGTATGAGGTATATCTTTACCAAAATACCAACCATTTCCATAAGTCCTGAATACTTTGCTACTACCTCGCCTAGGGTTAAATATTTTATTTCTAAATTTATATGGTATGAAACTTCTAGTAACATCAACATAAATAAATTCATCAGTGTTCAAAGTGAAGTCACCATTAAATAATACATCAACTGTTATGTTATCACAACTATAGTCTAAAATTACAAAAAATCTAAACAATTCGTCATATTTTAATTCTCGTCTTGGAATTAATCCATTCTCATAGTAGCCTTTCAGTTGAGTACCACTATCGAATAAATCGTCGTAAATATAAAAAATTCCATTTATGTTTCCTGTTATAGTTATTTTGGCGGTGATAGAATTTTCGATTGCATAATTTGACTTGCTTTCAATTAATATTAAATAATAATTTAATATTAAATTTATAATCACTATCAATTTTTTCATTTTGAATAAAAAAGGGAAAGGAATTATTAAAATTTGAATAGATGAAAAGAGGGAAGAAAAAAAAATTTTTTAATTAAAATATATATATTCGATCGTACTACTAAACATACATAATTGTACATGATCTATCATGGAAACTCTCAGATGGCCTAAAAAGAGAATAATAATAATAATAAATAGAAAATGGAAGAAAATAATATGGGCAAAAATCTTATGATTGTATAATTGGAAAGTCTTTATGGTAAAATAGGCAAATTATCTATCACATATAAATAATAATAGTACACTGAAGTTATCATCAACTTTTTTCTTCTCCTTTCGCATATGAGACGCGGTTCCTCTATTCCTGCTTAAACACATCATTTTTAATCTTTATAGATTACACGATTCTTTTTCTACTGGAATTTATTTCTGACTGATGTAATTCATCTCGGCGTTTAGGAACTTTAAAAATTTAAAGTTTTGTTTATGGAAAGAAACCAAAAGTTTTGTCCGCATCTTTTAGTGCTGCTCCGTTAATTTTCTGGCTTTGAAATTTTCTGATATTCTTTTTCCCAATTCTTTCGCCAGAAAATTCAAAAATCAACGAATTGTAAACACTCGTCCCATCACAAATGACTTTCATTTTCTCTCGGGCATTCTTTGACTAAACAACAAAGACAGTCAAGTTAATCCATAATTTTATTGTTTATCTTTAAATTCATCTTTTACAATTATTATAAAGTATTAGTATTCTTGACATTTTGGATCCATAGGAGTGGATGTTGGTATTAGAAAATATATAGTCATTAGGACCTTTTCCTAGGTGATTTTGCAAGGACTAGGATAACAGATCTTACTTCATAATGTGATGTATAGACGTTTTGGGTTCAACCATACCTATAACGAGCAATACTTGTCCTTCTCTCTAATTGTACTTTCGATATCTTTTTATTAAATCTTTCTTTATGAACGTTAGATTGTAAGTCACTTCGAAAATTTTAGCATAATTAAGAAAATCTTTACAACGGCAGCAACATTTTCGTCTTTGTTTCCATTGATACCATGAACTCTTGATATAAGATCATTATCTACCTCAAAATAACCTCGGAATAATTTCCGACAAAATGAAAAAAAAAGATTTTTGAAAGAAAATAAATGCATGATTTTCCAATATTCTATGTAATAATGATTGTAAACATAAGTTTTTTGAATCATATAGAATATTTGCTCAATTAAACATAAAAATTAATTTAAAGACTAATTCAATTTTGAATTATGATGATGTCAAGCCAACACATTTTACGATTTGAATTATTTTATAATACATTGATTTTTTCTATATGACGTTGTTAGTCGGAGATAATAATCAAAACAAATGTATAATCTATTTTAATATTCCCAGCCAAGGGTTCATTATAAGAAATAAAATAATTTTTGAGAGTATTATTTCATCTTGAAAGTTAATAAAATTATAAATATATATTTCAAGTCCTTCTCTTTATTTCAGTACCAAAAAACCAACATTTATTGCGAGAACATACGAATGATATATATTTTTATTAATACTCACAATTGCTTATTTTTTTTTTTAATAGAATTGCAACCAAGTAAAGCAAATGAGAGCGTAACAGTAGAAAATAACATGATTTGTTGTAGTGTAATGTCAAATATACAGTTCATTTTTTATGAACATATTATGTTAATTCTGTACTGTATTATTATTAAGGCCAACAAAAAACCTTCAATTATATACTGTATTAGAAAAAAAATTTTAACTTTGCAAATTAGATTAAATTCACTTAATACTAAATTTTTAATAATCGTCTTTTTATCTTAATAACAAGTAGCAAACAACAACAATGAATCATCATTTTTTAAGGATGATAATAAAGATTAAGATCCGATTTTGTTTCATGAAAATATTCAAGTTTTTCAAAAAAAAATGAGGGGATGGCTGTCCTATTTATATGTTTTGAATTTAATAAAATAGACTATTGTCTTGGCTTGAATGATGTTATTTTTTTGCTTTTTGTGACAAAGAAGATGAAATCCAAATCCAACTTAAAATAAATGAATTTTTGTTCTCGCGTACCAAAAACTTGCATTGCGTCCTCAGCTGTAAGCTTGTTATTATGTATTATTATGCATTGGCTTGGCTTATATTAGTTATTTCATGAGTCAGTTAGTTTATGAATTTTGGGATTCTTAGAATGACCAGTATTATGCTTTTTCATAATTGGGAATCGCACAATCTACATAAATAATGAATTGCAACGTTTTCACAATCATACGGTAAAATGATGAAAAATCTGTTGTAGAACAAAATATAAAGACTTTGAACAAAAATATAAAGTACATCACAACCTTACAAAGATTTTCGAGTTCTCTTGTTAGTAACTATTGTGAAAAAATTAGCATTGCAATCATTGAGGTATTCACAAAGGCTGATATCCATCATTATAGAGAAAAGTGATAAACTAAAGTCCTTTTTAATTTATATTGTAAAAATGGCAAGTAGTTTTCAAAAAGGTAAATATAAATACGGTGCAGATCATCTATAATCATTAATTGCTTATAATGACAATTGGTCAACTTCAAAGTACTGTTGTATGTGAAAATGAAATTATGTGAATTCGCAATTCACACATGTGGAATTCAAATTTACATATGTGAAATTCAAATTAGCCAATCAGAATTTCACCCCATTCAATTTCACATACAACAGTAAAACAAAAAAAAAATTTAACCGATAAGTTTTATTGTTCATGACTCAAACTTCAAAACTTATCGGCTGGTTTTTTCTTAAACTGAAAATTGGCAGAGCCTTAGCATTTTAAAAATTCCGAATTTTGTTATACATTTAAGAAATTGAGACCAAGTAAATTTCGTGTAACAAAATTTTTTTCATAGAATATTTTTTACAACATACATTTGATTTTTTATTCCCTTTTTTTTATTAATAAATAAAAGTCTTTACAGCAAAAAAGTTTAACGAACATATTACATTAAAAGAAAATCATTACCAAATTTGGTCGTGAGATTCAAAAAATTGTAACGCAAAAATTATAAAATCTATGAAAAGAAAATTTGACAAATTTTTTTTTTAAATTAATAGACTCCCCTTTTAAAGCTGAATTGAATGGTTGGTTTTTTTAAAATCCAATATGTGGATCACATAATATTTCAAAAATTTTAACTTTTGAGTATAGATGATCTGCACTGTATACAAAAACCACAAGGACAACAACACCTGAATTTTTTTTTTTACAGACTGATCGGCTATGTACAAAATTCTCAAACGAGTTAATTTTGAAGATATTTTAAAAAAAATCCAAATTAGATGATTCATTTAAAGTAAACTTTAACCATTTTATTTTTTTCAAAGAGAACTTTTAATGCCCAAAGCTACTCAATTATCTGAATTCGAACATGGAGAAATAGTTGACTTAAAAAAAGCCAATTTTTCTTAGAGAAATAGCTCATATATTAAATGACTATTTTTCAAAAAATAAAACAACTGCAAGCTCTTAGACCTGGCAGACCTAAAAAGTTATCAGAGTGTGATGAAAGACAACTTATGAAAGCAGTAAAAAAGGATACTAAAACAACTGCTTTTAAATTAGTCAAGAGTCTTGAATAATTAAACATTATAGCAAGTGAGAAGACTATCAGATGAACATTACATTCTAAAAATGTTTATGGAAGAAAAGCTGTGAAAAAACCTCTTGTTTCTGATGTAAATAGGAAAAAAAGATTATACTGGTGTCATGCAAGAAAAAATTGGAGTAGTATTGAATGGGATAAAATAATATTTAGTGATGAAAGTAGATTTGAGTTGTTTCAAAACGATTCAAATGATTGGGTCTGGAGGAAGCCAGGAGAAAAATATAATAAAGAAAATTTAAGTCCAACAGTAAAAAAATCTGATGGAATTATGGTTTGGGGATGTTTTACAAGAGAAAAAATGGGTCCATTAGCATTAGTCGAAGGTAAATTAAATGCAATTGGTTATAATAAACTCCTTGCAGAAAATTTACTACCTTATATTAATGAATTAAGAGAGGTGAATCGTGGCGGTGATGGTGGTGATGATGGTGGTGATGATGATGGTCATGGCCATGGTCATAGTCGTGTGTTTATTTTTCAAGAAGACAATGCACCATGTCATAAAGCAGCTGTGGCAAATCGATGGAAAGAGGAAAATCGTGTTATAGTTCTCCCTTGGCCTGCTCAAAGTCCAGACCTCAATCCTATTGAAAATTTATGGCAGGATTTAAAAAGAAGACTTAGAATGAGAAACCCAAAACCAAAAAATAAAATAGAACTATTCAATTTATTAAAAGAGGAATGGTTTAATACTATTCCAGTGAGAATTAATAGATTAATAGATAGTATGCCACAAAGAGTGGATGCTGTTTTAAAAAATAAAGGAAACCCGACAAGATATTGATTTTTTTTTAATAAAATACAATCAATTTAAAACAGTTTCATATATTTTTTGATGTCTTTTATGTTTCAAATTGGTGAGCAGTTTGAGGTTGAATCGGTTTGTAAAATTTTCCACGTTTTATTTTTTTTCTCATTAATTAATTTACCAAATGATCCGGAGTTTTGGATATAACTAAATTCAAACATAAGACGCATTTTTCACTTATACCGCAAAGGTTGTTAGAACTTGACATTGTGGTCAATTTTCGAGTTAAAGATTTTTTTGAAAATTCCGAAAAATTCATTTTTATTTTTTAAGGTTCGTGAAACAACAAGTTGTTGTTTATATGCGGCAAAACTTTAGTATGTTATACTATTTGTTATGGAGATGAATTTTTACTTAATAAGCAAATGCGGTTAGGTTAATAAAATTTTTATTTTTTTTCATGTTTCTTTATTCAATTATTTCCAATGATCTGCAAGTGTCCTTATACTTATGACCAGTGAGTGTACGTAAGTTTATGGCAGGCCCCATAATATTACGCAAATTTGCGTCAGAAAAAATTTCCTGATGTCTTTACCAGAATATTCACCCATTTGTGAAAGATGAATACAATGATATTACTTGTCCAAGACCATTCTATACTGACAACAAATAAAATATTTAGAATAAAATCATCTCCATGACTTTATCACTAGTTAATTTGTCCTTTACTGTCATTAAGTTTAATAAGTTTGATTTTTTGTTAGCTTTTTCCACCTTTAAAGTAAAAAAGTATTAAAATAATTTATACTTAATATATCCTCATAAAAAGTATATAAGTATATTAGAAGAATAAAAGTAAAACCATGACAAGCATTATAAAAGAACAACAAGAGAGGAATAAAGAACTATTAAACAAAATTGAAACATTAAAACAGCAATTAGCTGATAAAGAAAAAAAAGAACAAGACTTCAAACTAGGAATTTATAATGCAGTTGAAAATATTAAGGAGTATGAAATTATTGGCACTTTAATGACCTTGGAACAACAGTTTTTACCCAAAGATGAGTTAACCCCGGAAAATTTAGTTAAAGGTTGTGTTGAATGAACATTGCTTAATTGTGATTCTTATAAATTTGTTTCTAAAAAGAATAAAGAACTTAAAGAAAGAAATGCTGAGTTAGAACTATTAGAACCAAAGGTTGTAGAATTAACTCCTTATAGAGAGCAATTTGAAGAACTAGAAACAAAACTTGCAGAAACTTTGTCAGTTTGACATAAGGAACAAGAAGAGATTGATGATATTTCTTGAAGCGAGCAAATTCATAACTGAGACTTAGGAGAATTAAAAGAATTAAATAGGGGAAGATTTAAATAAAGTTATTTTTACAGTTATTGAAAAACTATATCAAACTTCTAAAGACCTAGCCAAAGCAATTAATACAGCTGAAGAATGAAAAAACTGACAAAAAGGGCTTTTGAATGATGAAATCAAAGCACAATCATTAATGCTACAAAAAGCTGATAAAATGCTTGAAGAAGAAATAGCAAAAAATACAAAATTACAAGAGGAGTTGGAAGAGAAATCAAAAATGTTAGCAAAAAGTGAGGAAAGAGAAGAGGAACTAAATAGACAGTTATATATTTGGAAAGAAAAGCCTTGCCTGCTCTACCTAAAAAACAAAATACTTTCCAAAAATTAGGTTCAAGAATTAAAACCAAGTTCCAAAAACTTCAACAATTGGTAGAAAATAAAAAACATCAAGCCCAAGAATTTACTGCTCAAATAGAAGTAAAAGTTAATTAGTTACTTTACTACTATGAGAGAATTACTTTACACTATTTTGGAGTTAGAAGAATGACATAACAGTAATTCTACTTGTGTTTTTTGCTTTGGTTTAAAAAATGTAGTGTGTCCAATCAGAACACGAAGCAAAGTGACTGGTGAAATGATTGAAAGTGATAAGGTTTGTGAGAGTTGTAAAGAAAAGTTTGAAAATGATGAGTTGCCTAAATGCAGTTGTGGAAGATTAAAGACTAGATACACTTGTGATTGTAAAGAAGAAGGAAATGAAAAAGAACTTCCTAAATTGCCTCAGGAAAGAGAGAGTATGTCCGCTTTTTATGAAAGGCAAATAAATTCTTTAAGAGAAGAATTAGCCATTGCAGAGGAAGCCCCTAGAAGTTGAAAGAGAGGAGGTAGCCAAATTTCAAGAAATATCTGAAGAGTGAAGTAAAAAACAGAAACAAGAGTTATTGGATAAGATAAAGAGTTTAGAAGAAAAAATTAGGCAACTAGAAGAGGAAAACAAGTCATTAAAAGATCAACAGAATGGTCAATTAACAGCTCAAATTGAAGTCAAAGAGACCAAAAGATGATCCTGATTGAAAATAAAAAAGTAATTAAGGAAATTTCCCTGTGTATAAATTGAAATTCATTTTAACTATAAAATTATTTTCCTTTTAAAGATTTTTGCATTTTGTTGGGTAATAATGCATCATCATAATGTTTTCTTTTTCCAACATTTATTATTTTTCTTTCTTCTTGGTAAATTTCATAAGTAATCCTTTCTTTTCTTAGATAAGTTTCAAGTGTCTGAGTATCATTTATTTTGAAAATGTAAGGAGCAATTTTTTCACCTTGTTCCTTCTTCAAAATACTTCTAATGGTACTGTAATTCTTGGGTTCCATAGTAGATCTGATGTAAATTAGTTTCATATTAACTATTTTTATATAGAGGTAATTCTATATATCACTTAATATTAAGATAGCAAATGGGAAATTTTAATAATCACATTATACTAGATTTTGATCCCTGAAATTCTTGGTAATACCAATGTTCACTTTGTCTGGTTTTGTTGCAGTATGCCCCATATATAATTTTATAATTTCATGTTCACTTTGTAGGTTTTTTATGAATAAGCAAATAGTTACCTTCAAAAATTTATATCTCTATTTTGTTATCTAATGATTTTTTTAACATAAAGGCTATTTTGAGTATGGGTTAACAGAATTTGGATATACAGAAACTTTATCTATTTTAGTTATAATAGGGAATATGGCAATTAACATAAATAAATTCTATTACATTTATTTATTTTCAATTAATAATAATTTCTTCAATGCAAATGTAAAAATACATAATAAAATTTTTTTAATCATTGAGGAGTAATAAAGCCTTCATCTAATAAATGTATGTCATGTGATTTTCTAATTAAATTTCCAGGTTTCACTTCATTGTGCCATTTGATCTTTGGATTCATGGTCACATATGGATATCTAATTTTTCCTTCTGGACCTGCCCATTCAAAATCTATAATTTTTATAACCCATCTATCCTCTACTTTTTTAGCAAGTATATTATTTAGTCAAAAATCTCCATGAACAAAGTTTTTGTCATGTAATAATCCTACAGCAACTTTTATAGAATTTTTTATCTCCTTCAAATCTTCTTTTTTTACTTTTGAAAACAATGAATTTATAGTCTCATATCCATCAAGATATTCCATTACAATAAATTTATACCCAGAATTTATGTCTGAATAATGAATGATTTTTGGTGCTATTTGATGTTCAGCACAGAAACTGTGTGCATCATAACCATAAGTTCCAGAAAACTTGACTATGTGTTTTGTATCGTCATTCTTTTCTACAAGATACACCAGACTTTGTAAAATGTCAACACAACGTTTTTTGTATTGAAAAGATACCACTAAAGAATCCTTTGTGTATGACCTTATCCACGGAAACCTTCCCACGTTTCTATCAATCTTTTTTTCTGGAACTAATAAACATTCACTATAGTATTTTTCCAAAGTTTTAATCGCCTCATGTAAAGAACAAAATATTCTTGTCAGTTGATTTATCCATGATTCAAAAAAATCAGGTCTGACTATAAGATTTTCTGCTATTAAAGGACATATTGTAACTCTTTCCCCAAATACAGCACCTGCAATCTCAAATCATGTGCCATGCAAACAAACTAGAAAACATGGCAAGCAAGTGTTCAGGATAAGGTCTTCATCATCTTCAGCATGTTGAACCACATATTCTTGGTAGTATGTGCTGATTTGCACATATGGATCAACCTTCGAAGATTCGTTTTTGTATTCAAATCCTACCAACAAGGCATCCTTTTCTGATTTTGAGTATTCTAACTTTACTAATGCATCAAATCTAACTTCTTCATTACAATTCCTCTTCTTCCTATCTTTTCCATCTATATTATACCCCAAAAAATTGTTAAGTTTATTTTCAAATTCTTTTTCCCTGTCATTTTCTGAATCATAAGTATCTCCCATTGCACATGCTAACTTGAAAATTTTTTCTTTTCTTTCATCATCAAATGATGTTGATTCACAATCAAGCATGAACTTTTCAAAAACAGGGTGACATAGTGTCAATGGAATATCAAATTTTCCAGTTGGGCGGCAAATATAAAAAGGAGGATCATTGTCACTCAACAAGGATTCCCATTTACCTTTTTCTGCAAATTTTGATGCACTTGGTCGTTTTTTTTTGCTTATTTTTATTAATTTGTTAATTGGGCCTATTATGAAGGAAAATATTTGATAAATTTATTTTGTTTCACATTATCAAACTTTATGAGGAATATTAAATCATTTTACTTTACCTTCTTCTACTTCTGTTTCTTCCTCAAATTTACGTTTGACTTTTCCTACTACGATTCAGTGCAATTTGCAAGGAAGAAACAAGTTAGTCAGCATTGTAAACAATATATCAAATAAATAAATAAACGAAATGGAAAATAATTTTTTGTATATTTTTTTATGCAATTTATTCATTACCTTCTCCTTTCTTGCTAAATTCAACTAGTGCATTTTGTAAAATCTTCATCTGTTCCTTCCAGTCATTTTTATTCTCTTTCAACTCTTGTTTTTCCTTTTTCAATTCGTCCCTTTGCCTTTCCCAACTATTCTTTTGATCTTCATTCCTCCAAATTCTGTCATCCAACTTACCCTCCAATTCCCATATCTTCTTCTCTTTCCACCCCTCCTCGAACTGCTCCAACTTCTTCAACGCCTTCTCATAATCCACCCTTGTCATGTTTATATTTAGATCAAATGGATACCATGACTTTTGATTTTTATACTTCCTAAGCAATTAAATGGTAGGAACGTCTTCCTTTCACACTTACATCCCTTGCATCACCTTTTAA